CGTTCAGACAACTGTGATGCTGCGGTTCTCTTCTAAAATATTTTATTTTTATCTGATTTCATATGATTATGTTTTTAAATGATGCATGAATGTTCCCAAACACTATGACAGTGCGATCTCTGTGTGAGATATGTGATTGTTGTCATATTTCTATAAAATCTAAAATACATGTATTAAAGTAAAAATGGATGATAAATAGGCCTACACCTTTTGTATGGAATTAAATAGCAAGCACTTTGAGTGTCTTGTTCATCATATTTATTTTCATATAAAAGCAACAGAACTGAAATAATATCATGTTTATTATTAAACGCATGCTAGAGGCAGTTTAGCCCATCACAACACACTGGGCCAGCTAATCAATCAGAGCCCATCGTGTATTTCTGAGGGAGATGTGTATGTGAAAAATAATGCGTTTTTTAACAAACGAAGCATTAACACATGTTAGACTGCACCCCATAAACACAATCAAGCCTATAAAAAACCAGTCAACCACCCCTTTAATGATTAAAATAGCCTTGACAGCCTTTTTTACTGGAGTTCCACAACTATTGACTTTGTTCTCTCTCACCAGACTTGTCTAGGCCTATGTGTGATCTGAAAGAGGAAAGCAGGCATTTGGACCAAAGCACTGTGAGGCAAGGGAGGAGGAGACTCAAAATGTTTCTAAACTTATAACACATTTTTGCCCCGTTTGCGTTTGCGTTTGTGTTGTTTTACTACTTACACAATAATTTAAAGTATTAAACATTAGTATTTACAATACACAGTGTGGTTTTTAATCATATTTTTAGGGGGAACAACCCTCAGATAGCCCCCCCATATCATTTTATTTTAAGTACAATTAAATATTATTTAAAATAGCCACATCAGTTTAGCAAATGATGAACCATTTCACACACTTTTTACATTAGGCTAATTTTGCAACAAGTAGGGTCTAACAACTCCTCAGATATGACAGTATAGGAATCAGTCATCTCTGGTCAGGGCCGTTTCTAGGCATAGGCGAGCTAGGCGGTCGCCTAGGGCGCCACCAGCTGAAGGGGCGCCAATGAGCGCACGTACTGGCACTTTTAGCAGGGTTGTGATAAAGAGTGGCACGGTCACCCTGAAATATGACTGCCGCCCCCACTGGATCCCCCAACATTATTGGGCTAGAGTAATGTCAATCTGACGATGCCTGTATGCCACTAGATCAGAGTGCTGTCAATTGCTGCCTGATTGTTGCATGCAAAGTTTGAATTGGCTAGAAACGGCCCTGTCTCTGGTGATTATAACTGAAACTGCCCCGCACCTGATAAGGCTACAAAAAAAATAAGCCCTCTAAGAAGTGTTGTGTGCCTTACCCATAATCAAAAAGAAAACTAAATGATATCAGAAGAAATTAAACGCATCAGCAAAGTCGTTGTGGGCTAAACTACACATTATTAGACTATTACGGACTGGATTAAATCAGAATATGGTATATTGATTTGATTTGAGAATGCAGTAGCCTTTTTTGTTTACTTATCTATCCTAAATTATGAATCTGTCATCAGATTACTTTTCACTTTAGCTATAATAACCCATGCCGTATTATGAATAAAACTTTCTGCATTTCCACCAATGTTTACCAGTTATAAACCACGATATATGGCAAATTATTACATGATCAGACATGTTCTAAAGAGGTTAATCGCTTACCTTCTGTCCCACCGCTGAGAAGAAAATAAACAACAGTCGTCGTAATGAAGAGACGGGAAAACATATCTATTACAAGCACTGAGTGAAGACACCGTCACCTTAAAAAGTTCTTGTCACCTTCAGTAAGTGCCACTGAACGAGTCAGGGAGCGAATCCGTGACAGACGCAGTCTAAAAACAGCCGCGCTCAAAAGACGAGCCACTTGGATAAACACACAACGCGTAGTGCTAAACCGAAACTTCCTTCACGTTTCGTCTCAATCAGAGCCGGGCAAGCTAGTTAAGTAGCTAACACTATTCTAAATTCAGCTTTATTAGGCTGCATGTCTTTCAGAATTAACAAACCGAAATTATTATTTTACAGAAGGCATAATTTAAAGAAAAACTACCTGGGCTTTTGAATTATTATTATAGCCTACTCGAAGTCCTCCTCTGTTGTTGAGACCACAGTCTATTTATTCCCTCAGCGAGCAGTTTTTTATGCTACAGGCGCGTTTCCATTAGCCTACCCTTCTAATTGCGCAAATTGAAATTGCGAATTGAAGATAGAATGGAAACGCGTAAATTTCGCAAAAACGCCCATATATCGCAAAAAAAGTGTTTACGCTCGAATGGCAATGCGAAAAAGGTATGTATAATTCGCAAAACTGCAATGGAAACGGCTTTTTCGCATTTACAGGTCACATGGCGTATGTAAAAAGTCATATGATCATACTTCAATGTACTATAGCCTCCAAGAAACACATCATACGTGGACGCTCTCCAGTATAAGGGGCTCTCCCTACCATTAATGCTTAGACAATTTACACTGCACACGTCTGGGGTGCAGTGTGGCTCTGATACGGCCACTGAAGCTGATTGCGGCCACAATGCTTGTGTTTATTCCAGAATCCAGCCGCGCCAGGCACGTTTCTGAAGCGGCTCTCTGTGCTGCGTCTGTAAAGATACACGCATACGCCTCCTTTGAATAAACATAGCCAAAATCCGTTGCCATGACTTATCGCGAGAGGCAAAATGTTACGTTTTAGTCGCATAACATTGGTTAATGGAAACGCCGTCATTTCGCAATAGCCTACTTTTTTTTATCGACATTTATAAAATATCTCCAAAGTTTTGCGCAAATCTATTATGGAAACGCGCCTACTGTCTCATGTCCACATCTTCTAATTGGCTGGTGTGTGTGGTGGGCATTCTTGCGCATTATCTTGCAACCCATCGCATCATCCAGGTGGATGATGCACACTGGTGGTGGTTGAGGAGATTTCGATTTAAAGAGCACTTTGAGTGTTGAGAAAAGTGATATATAAATGTAATTGAGTATTATTCTATTATTAATATTATTATTGTAATATCATTCTTGTCACACAGGGAGTGCACACATTATCTGCATTTATTTAATTAGTTACAGGGTTGGGAGGGAAGGTTAGTTTTAAAAATGTATTTCACTACAGATTACAAAATACATGCTTTAAAAGTATTTTGTAACATATTTCGTTGGATTACTCAGGTTAGGCTAACTTAATCTAAATACCTTGGGTAATTATGTTTTAAATATAACACTAAAACCGCCAGTCGGTGGTGGCAAATCACTGTGTTAATGAGTAATTTGATTCGTTCAAAAGGACTGATCCATTAAGGAATGAAGCAAGTGATTTTATGAATAACTGAATCATTTGCTCAGCCAATTGGTTCAAAACGCGGATTCATTTAGTAAACAAACAGCACTGTGTTGCTCGCAGACATCCAACTCTTCTGCTGGGGATTTATTTCAAAGGCAGTGGTTATTAATAATTTAATTAATAATAATAATTTATGCATTTAGCAGACGCTTTTATCCAAAGCGACTTACAGTACATTCAGGCTATAAATTTTTTACCAGTATGTTGCATTAAGTGCAAATAGCAATAGATGCTACTTACACTAAGTGTAAAGCATCTCGTCTTTGCGACAGATGCTATTTACACTAAGTGCAAACAGCCATAAATTCTATTTACATTATGTAAAAATAAGCCGCTAAAATTGATCGATTAAAATGTATATATATTTAAATAGAATGGAAGATATAGATTGTACTGCATGTTAGCTTGCTTATTGTGCCCAAAAGCATAATTTATTTAAGTCCATATGTCTTACTAACTAGAAAATATGCTTCTAACCACAGGTCGACTATCACAGGTCGAGAGCTGTAGTTCCTTCCACGTAAGTTTGCGACACTGTATGCGAATGTTTTCTTTTGAACTATGGTTTCGGGAAACACCGAATCGTTTAACTATGTTGGTAAAAAGCACAAGACTTCACTGCTCTCAGCAACATTATCAGTAATGTTGTCAGCAGTGTCGAGGAAAGTTACTTTTAAAAGTAATGCATTACAATATTGACTTCTTAAAAAAGTAACTAATTACGTTACCTATTTACTTTTTATTGAAAGTAATGCGTTACGTTACTTTTGCGTTACTTTTAAAATCTGGGCTGGACTTGCTTGTTTGCTTTTAATATAAAAAGTTATATTTTTGGCAAATGTAAAAGCCCTTTCACACCAAAAGCCTCAGGCTGAATGAAATGTAAATTCACGTCTGTACAGTAGAACGCAGAAGAAGAAAGTTAAACTCTTCAGCAATAAAAAAGAAGAAGAAATGTTAGTTCCTCTTCAGGAACTCGAGCTGCGTCGGAGGATGCTTCGGGAACGCCCTTCAGCGTGACCGGCTCTGAACCTCGTGTGTAATCAGACCAATAGATGGGCGAGACGTCACGGGCGGGTGACGTAATGACCAGGAAGCTATAAAAGCACGTGCGGTGAGACCAGCGTCAGCTTTCTGTCATTCAACAAGCGCTCTGTGTGTGTGTCAGTTGTGAGTCTTATTTGGTGTTGTCTGTCCCATAGAAAATAAAGAAAGATAGTAGAAAAAGATATACAATGTCAAAAGCACATGAGAAAAGGAAACACCAGTTAAGGGGCGAAGGTGGGCAGCGTTTCAGACTGTGTGTTCCTCCCTGCCCGCGTTTCATTACGGGTGGGGATACACACAGCCTGTGCGTTGTCTGCCTGGGAGCGGAGCATGCTGAGTCGACTCTTGAGAGAGCTGACTGCCCGCATTGCGAGCGTCTTGCGATGCATGTTCTCCGCTCCCGGAGGGCACTCTTTGAGGAGGGTGCCTTCGCTAGCGCTCCCCGCGGTGCGGGTCCCGCTTCCGCCGAGGCGGAGCGGCGATTACGCTCGTGGGGTTCGCAGCTGGAACTGGCGGAGGGAATGGAGACGGGCGAGTCCCTATCTTCTTCCTCACCCGCCAGATCCAGCGCTCGCTCGCCGGGATCGGAAGCCCGCGCTGCGGTTACTTCCCCCCGGGGAGCGGGCTCGGTGCTCCGCCTGTCTTCCTCCGAGGAGGTTGATGTGGTGGGCGTCGATGAGGAATCGCCCCCTCAGTCGCCCCAGTATGAGGAACTTTTCGGAGGTGGTAACTCGTGCCGTGGCCAAACTAAATATTGAATGGCCCGCCGAGAAGATGGCGCCGAATGTACTAAAGCGATTATTTCAGAGTTCGCCATTGGATAAAAAATAGTAGTCGTGACCGGTGTTCTGACGATTTGTGCTACCCGCTCAGATTGTGCTACCTCCCATTAAAAAGATAGGTAGCACAAATCGATAGCGAAAAATGCTACCTGATTGTGCTACCAGCATCTTATTCATGTGGTTTGAGGCTTTTTTTATGTCCATACCTACCCCTACCCTAAACCTACCCCGTCCATATCTACCCTTACCCTAAACTTACCCATAAAACAATGCAAATATATTTTGGGTAGCACAATCTGATAGGTAGCATGTTTCGTCGGTACACCCGGCAACCGCCAAATGGTTTCGATCAGAGAAATCAATGCAAGAGACTCGAGAATGGAGTGAAAGCGCCCAGGTGGAGCAGAGAGGCAAAACTACTGACCTGTTCAGTACTTCAAGTGCAGGTCAGTTTCATCTGTAAATAGGCTATTGTAGTTTTATCTTTGTTTACTTAGATAAGTATTAAACTGCTAGCACCTGTTCTGTTAGCAGTAGCAGCCCATTACTCATCACTCAAAACACTCTATGCTAAAGGACATCATTATTATCTATTGTAATGTTACAGTAGTAATTTAGCAGACAAATATTTACATCGTTTTATAACAGGTTTAGAAGGAGCTAGGGCAGACAACAACAGAACCCTTACAAAAATTAACAATGGTGAGGCCTAATTTTCGTAAGGGAAAAATATGACTCATTATAATGCAATAACATGTTCAGTATTAGGATTTTACTATAAAGATATTGTAATGATGTAATTGTTATTGTAATAATTTTGACATTTAGGCAAATTAGAAAATATCAGGAAAAATGAAGAGACTGAAAAGGAAAATGGAAGTGAAGGTCCAGTTCAGGAGAGAAATTTTGCATGTTATTTTGCATGCTTTTAAATGCCCTAGCATGAAGATAAACAAGACGGATTGTGTGTGGCTCACTCAGGGCGGGGTCTCTGCTAATACGGCGCTGTCAGTCAGTGACTGTGGGCGGGGCCTGAGCAATGTGACATCACACTGCTCAGAGAATCAAAACGGCATGTCTAATGAGACTGATTTGGTTTAATGAGGATTAAAAAATAAGGAGTGGGTGGATTTTTATCATTGTAGGGTGGTTGTGTTCACACACTGCCAACACACATTTATGTCCAAAGACCATGTAAAAGTGGATTTTGCATAATATGTGCCCTTTAATAGACCTATATAATAGAACTATTTTTGTTGGTGATATAGAGCAAATCAGAAATACTGTTCTTTAATGTAAGTCTCTTAATATTAACTTCTTGTTTTTGAATTCTTGTTTTAAAATGCTGCCCGTTTTGGCCAGGACACTCCTGTGAAAGAGATTTTTAATCTCAGAGAGGTTTTCCTGGTTAAATAAAAAAAATGGCATAAAATCAGTATCACATTTGCGGTCGTGCTAACATTCGGGAAAACAGCACTCTTCTTCCTCGATTGATATTGGTTAATGCCATATGTTAGAAAAACAAGAACTCATACAAACAAACCTCACTAGCCCTGTGTGAGAAAAAAGTGCGTGTGGCGTGAGAACATGTTTTCAAAGATTAATGAACAACTTACTATAAGATGCTTTTTCAAGGTTAGATGTTCCTTTGAAGCCGAGAGAAGTTTTGCTGCAGGAAACAAAATTG